CCCCAAAACCCCAAAACCCCAAAACCCCAAAACCCCAAAACCCCAATTTAAAATTTCTAAATTGGTATTTATTGTCCAAAAAGTTAGAACTTGTATTTGATTTTCTCCTTTTTATCTTTCTTTTTCTTTGGAGCTTCTTCTTTGACTTCAGGTTTACTCTCATCATCAACCTTTGGCTCACTTGCCTTTGCTCCATCTCCATAATCATAAGTATGCCCAGTTCCCATGATTTGTCCTTCTCCGATTCCAGTCTCCACTTCTTTAAGCACTTTATACAGAGGTTTGACTTCTTCAACTTCTTCAGTGATGTCTTCTCCTTTATTAAGATATTCATCTGCCTTTTTCTGGAGTTCTTTCTTTCTAATATCTACACCTTCAAATTGCTGGTTATTAATGATGCTCTCAATTCCGCTCTTCATGCCTGGTTGAAGTTCTTCTTGGTCGTCGCTTTCTATGTATTCTCCTACAGATTCTCGATCTTGGTCTTCTTCCATTTGATCGTCAGCGTCTTCACTATATTCCTCTTCTGATTCTTCCTTGATCTCCCCCCATAATTTACGTTGTTCCTTTCTTTGCTCGTAAATATTGACCGGCTTTGCACCTTCTCCAGTTGATACCTTGTTTAAGCCATGGCAATCTGCATACACTGTGAATCCACGCTCATCTTGGATATATTTTCCATTCCCGAAATGCATTGAATCTGGGATGGGAGCATTAACTCCAGGAATTTTTAGACTTGGATATGCAGGTGGAGGTCCAAATCTCTGCATATTAGTCAACCATGATGGTGGTGATGCTTCAGGAATACCCAATGCATGACATAAATCAGCGGATATTCTTCCTGGTTTGTACACTCTCATTTTCACTTCATATTCCTTTCCTTCATAATACACATCTCCATGCACTGTTAGCCTTGGCTTTGTCTGATGCTTGAAGAATGCATCATGAAGCACTTGGTAATCGATATCAAGTTTTCCTGTTTTTGGTTGCATTCTCTCTTTCATTCTTTGTCTCAAACTCTTGTTGGCATCTCCAGATGCTTCTCTGACTTGAGAAATTCCTGTATCCGCAATATATTCAGGAAGGACAAATGGAGTTTTATGGAGCCCTCTTTTATACTGCAAAAACTTCCTCTTCTGACACCAATGCTTTGGGACAGGAACTGAATTTCTTACACATTTAAGGAAAGTTAAGAACAAGGGATTTTCGGCTGTAACATCCCAGGACTCCACTACATCAGGTCTCTTAACCTTCTGCTTAAGTTCACTGACTTTCATCCTATTAAGTTCTTTCTGTTTCCTCTTAGATAGCTTGACCTCTTCATCTTTACCTCCATCATCAGCTTTACCATTCTTTTTCTTATCATTTTCCTTCTTAGCATCACTTTCCTCCATCTCTGCATCAGTTTTAAACCGTTCAAAAATCTGTTTGAACTCGATTTGATGATTTCCCTGTATAGAAGATTCGTCAAACTCATTAACATACTCTATCTTGACCTCCATTCCATCACTAGTCTTAGTCTCTGTCTCTACAGGCTTAATAAGCTTATCAAAGTCAATCTTGGATTCCTTTTCCTTCCTATTCCTCTTCCTGTTCCTCTTCTTCCTCATTTTCTATAAAGTTATTCGTATAAATTACATTATTCTCTTTAGCCATTTGTGAATTTTTAGAAGTTCAAAAATTATAAAAATTTTTGGGGTTTTGGGGTTTTGGGGTTTTGGGGTTTTGGGGTTTTGGGGTTTTGGGGTTTTGGGG